ATAGGGAGGTATTGATTTAACGGTAAACGTTAATCAACTAGAGCCAAAGCTATTATAAGTTCTGTCAAAATCCCCTACCTGCAGTAACGAGGGCGACGTCAAAATCAAACGATACAAACCAAAATAACATCACGAGTTGTCCTGACCAAAATCTGCGCACAGCTTTGATGAGGTTATTTGCCTTAATTCCACGTTCGGTCCAGGTCTGCAGATATCCCTCTCTCTTTCAAACTCCATTCTGCTCAAACAGACATAACTGATTGCCACCTGCGCAGTTTTGGATCATACGAGGGTGCAGGGACTTGAGAGAAATTAAAACAGGTAAGCATATGTCTGTTCGGGTAAGCACCTATTCAGGCATCAGCTTAATATGTAACTGTTTTGTCTGGTAAGAGACAAAAGGCCACGTTAGATAAATGTTAGCTGAAACCGTGAGAAGGTCAAAAAGCACAGCCATAGTGTCTAAAAAAGTAGAGGTAGATGTAGTACCCACAAAGCTGATATTTAATTCACCCGACTAAATTGTGAAGAACTCAGCGGCCTCGGTGCGATTCGAACCCATAAAATCAAGGGAGGAGAGGCTTCAATACAGTCAGCGTTCTAATCACCCTCCAAACCGATGAAGTGGCCTGACAGTCATCTGGTGGAGGCTGGACCTTTTAGCTAGTACCTGGGCTGCTATTATGGTAAGTTACAACATCAATATAACTACTACCAGTGTCTGCCTGTTGGTAGAATGTGTATATATTAAGCAGTGGCTGACGGAATTCAATCCAAATAAGCACATTAAATTTCGGTCTACGTCTATAGAACTTCAACATATTGACGCATATCGCGAACAGGAATAAGTGTCTAAGGAAATTTAAAAAGCTGAACTTTCAAAACCAGTATATCAACCAGAGAGCAGAACAGAGACAGCTGGGGGACCCACTTAAAATCCGGACCCCACACAGCTGTGTGAAGCAGCGGCAGAATACCGGTGAAACGCGTGTTTGGACCTTTTAGCTAGTACCTAGGCTGTTAGTATGGTAAGTTACAACATGAATATATACTACTAAAGTCTGTCCGTTGACAGCAAGTGTATATTTTGCAGTGGTTGACGGGTTTCAGCCTAAATGTACACTTACAATTTCGTTCTAGGTCTATAAACCTTAAATATATTGATGTATACCGCGAACAGAAATTAATTTCTCAGGAGATTAAAAAGCGGAAC